TAAATGAAGTCCGGGCATGGTGGTGCACACCTTTAATCCCAGCACTCAGGAGGCAGAGGCAGGCGGATCTCTGTGAGTTCAAGGCCAGTGGGCTACAGGGAGACCCTGTCTCAAAAAAAGACCAAAAAAAGACAAAAAAAAAAAATTAAAAGTGGATGTCTACTGAACAAAGGCACAGAGCTACCACACAGAACAGGTTCACTGCTTTAAAAAGAGGCATCTTTCATATCTTTAGTTGAGAAAGGACTACATTAGGTGCTGATATCTTTGTTAGAGTACATAGATGCATTCAAAGAGCATTATGTTCTAACACAAAATAATGAGATGTATATGGGATACATATTTGTATGTGCATGTACATGCACAAGTATATAAAGATTCACATGCATACTTATGCTTCTTCTTTCCATCACAAGTAGTATATTTAAAGTTAATGTCTGTTTTGAGGTAGAAAATAGCTAGGTTCCTATTACAGTTTTCTTCCTCAAAGTTGTCTTTTGGAAAGATTCACTTCTGAAGGCCAAGAATCTGAGCAATAGAAGGTAGGAAAGAGCAGGCAACAGAATTACAGCCCAAAGTATGAATTCAAGCTTTCAGGTTGCAGTTAGGAAACTGTCGCAGATAGTATGGAATAAAACACAGTTCAGATCAGTTGATATTTACCAAATTGTCACTGAAATATAAAAACCTAAGCAGGATTCAAATAGAAAAGATAAAGAACCTAAGTTCAGATGCAGAGACAGCCCTGCAAGCCTGAGGCTAAACTAACATGAAAGGGCAACTCATATCACAGGGAGAAATAACCAGTTGTCCCAGAAGCCTTGGCAAGGAATGTCTGAAAAGTACCGGGAGACTAAGAGGTGATGCTAACCTCATTATTCCAGATTTGCAGCCAGGTCTTGTAATAATTATTATGCCCCAGTTTTGGAACATTTCAGTTTTCTTCACCAATGAGTAGAAGTCAAGTTTTCATTGCATGATGGGCAGATAAAATAATTTCTATTCAAATGCAATCTAATGACTACACAATGCCTTATCAGAAATTCTAAAGAAAAGTAAGATATTTTGGATGTGGGGTTCATAGTAATGTGCCTAAGAAGGGAGCATGCTTCTGTCCTCCTGTCTTATCCTCACCCTTATAACATTAATCCAGTCACCAGCAGAATCCAAAATTTTTCCTTTTCAGAAAATAAAATCCTTGGGAAATGGAAGGGAAGATAATTGAAGGAGACAAGGTAGCTGGAAAGAGAATTTTCTTCTTGAAAAGTAAAATAAGCCACATGTCTACATGTATGTCTAGACCTATATCTACAATGAACTTGCTTAGTTTCCATGCTGACCATCTTTCTGCCTCAGTATTTTATTAGTATTTAAACTTGGTTAGATCCTACATCCTTTAGGTAATTACTTAGGGGAAAAAATTCTGTATCATAATTATACTCATATTTCATTCATAATTATTCTGATTTTATCTTCTCAGAAGTACTTATTAACTGTCTTTTGTGTCACTTTTTGAGAAAACAAAATAAAGCCACCTTTGTGATCTGTAAAATGTTTGCCTTCTCAGTTCACAAAATGTGAGTTACGCTGGCTGAGTCTGGATAGGTATGACTAAATCACAGTAATTAACTGTTTCATGAACAGGACTTATTCATAATAAAAAAAGATTCTCAACATACCTCATGGAGCCGGAGGTCCTTCTCATAAACAAGCTTTTTTACGAAAGCTGCTATAAATACAATCCAAGCCACCATGAGCACAATCGGAAGGGAGTAAGAGACACTGGTGAGGAAGCTGTGGAGGGAAAACAAAAGAATCCAGTGACTGAAAGACCATAGTCTTTGCATATTGTAATGTGGTGGGGAGCACACCCCTCTGGTGTGGAAATTACATTCCCATTAGGAAATGAAACTAACCATTAACGCAGCCCCATTATTTATGCGAGGGGAAGCTGGCTTAACAGCTTGCTTCCCATCTTGTGGGGATGCTACAAAACTGAAAACACAGGGCTGGAGAGATGGCTCAGTGGCTAAGAGCACGGACTGCTCTTGCAGAGGACCTGGGTTTGATCCCCAGCACCCACATGGCGGCTACAAACTGTCCTTAACTCCAGTTCCAGGGGACTCTGAAGTCCTGTTCTGACTGCTACAGTGTTGTACGACACAGGTGCACCTATAAACATGCAAACAATACCCTCATACACAGAAAATAATAATAAAATATTTTTTTTTAAAGTGAAAACACAGTTCTGGGTGTAAATATTCGTGGAACACCAGGCCACCATAATTCATCAGTTCACTGTGTAGGAATGTGTCACTATCAGAAGGATGGGTGTGTCTGAGACGAGTTGCACTATTTTTTTTTTTTTTTTTGTTTTTGCTTCCAGGGGTAGACATTTGTAGAACATTTGTTCAATGAATTTCATCTTGGACCAGGCCCACTCTTAATGTAGTTTCTAGCTCTAGAATTGAACAAAGGCTTCTATTCACTAATAACAAGACTCTTGTATTGTTTCTGACAAGCAATGGTGTGTTTTAGGTTTGGAATAGTACTGAGAAAATGCTAACCTTATCATTGGAAGGCCCAGGGCAGGGTCAACTATATATCTGAGTCAAATTACTCAAGCTTTCTGAATTTTAGTTTCATTTGAAAATATGACAGTGAGACTGCTTCTATTGAACCTGCAGGGGTTTTGGGGGCAGAACAAATAACATATAGAGGTTTTTTTATATGAGTTTAAATTTATACCTTGGTCTTACTCCCCTTAAAAAAATGAAGGTTTTATTAGCTTCATTCTTTAAAGAAACTTCAAGGCACGCCCCTTTTTAGGCCCTAAGCAAACAGCAGAGTAGTGGTGAATATCTTCCATTCCGTTTGATATGTCTGAAGCTATGAGCAGAAGGGATTCTCAAAACTGGCTGATCACGAGCCAGTCCTGCAAGTATGGAGACTTACTTGTCTTTCATGAAGCAGGGATAAGGAACTGCTTGAACCTGAACTGCGATTTCCTGTGAGTTCCTTCCTGTTTGCAATTCAACGATTGCTCTCTCAATACTATCCTGTAAATAAATGAAAGCTCGACCATAGATCTGGTTGTGGGATGGAGAATTGTGCGGCCCTGGGGCCCAGATCTTGGTTCTTATGCTTCTTGTGGTCTGTGCTGTCTTCAGACTCATGCGGATGGTGTATTTTATGACAGGAGGAAGAGAGATGTTTTCAGAGTTGTAGCGTCTGTGTGAGCTTCTGTTAGATGAAAGCTTAAAGATAACGCCTAAAAATAAAACAGCAATAACAGCAGAAAGGTTACTTTGTGGGTGGTATTACTCACTGTTCAGAGGGTACTTAGAGGGCAGCCAAGTAGTCAATTGAGTTAGTAACGGGACAGTGGATTCAGGCTCCTGATTTAGAAGGATGGTTAATAAGAGGTGCCAACCTCAAGGGTTCAAAGCTAGAGTTTAAAAATATAATCACAAACTAAGTAGTTACATTAAATATATCACTCTAAGCCACTTAATAAAATTATAAAAACACCATCCTACTTTTAAATGAATGAACTTGACTGATGATGCAGATGGACTCAGCTTCACCCTATAAAGACATAATGCTTTCCATTCTTAATTTTAACTGTACCAGTAAAATAAGACCTATATTGAAGGTTTATCTTACTTAGACAGTATCGTTGGCTGACTTCATGAAAGGGTCTCATTTGTACCAACATCACAAAGGGTCGTGACCTTCAGACTACTTTTTTGAGTTCTAGATGAAAGAGGTAAGGAAAAAATTTGACCAATTTTACTACAAAGAGAAACTCAAATCCTAATGGAACTGCACTTACTTCCAAAGAGTTCGTTGCTTTTGTAGAGCTTTTGAGCCTCGGTCTCCATCTCCTCTATGGTTTTTGATGCCTGAATACGGTCATATAATACACAGGAGGAAATGTTTACTGTCAGGGAAGACAGTGTGTTAAGCTGATCAATAATGTCGATGTTGTTCTCTAGCTTAACCCTGAGACTGTCTAAAGAAGCAAGGCAAAAGAGATTAAAAAAATATATTATCAACTTTATTCTAAAAGCAGTAAGACAAAATGCTGATATTTTGGCACATGTTAAACATTAAACTAGATTATAAACAATGAGATGCTGTAGAATTTACTTTAAAAACATCTAGTATTCTACACCCAGGAAAACGAGTCCAGTCTACAGATAAATGTTAAGCCAGTCAGAAATATAGCTAACCCAGGTTCAAGAAAGAAAGACAAGATAATGCAAAAGTACATTCTGCCACAATTTAAATAATAAAAGACTAAGGATGTATACATCTGAAACATTGTATTCATATAATGACTGGGGAGATGGCTCAGTGGGTAAAGTACTTGTTAGGAAAGCATGTAGACCTGAGTTTGGATCCCCAGCACTCATGAAAAAGCCAGACATGGCAGCATGTACACTGGCTTGGGGGGAATGGAGACAGGGGAGGTAGGTGGTTCCCTGGAACTTTGCAGGCCAGTCAGTCTAGCTCAATTGGCAAACTCCAAGTTCAGTGATGGACCATGCCACAAAGACATAAGGTGGAGAGCAATATAGGAGTACACCCAATATCTATTTCTACTTCCATATGCATACTCATGTACACACACACACACACACACATCTTATATGCATATACCACACACACAAAATAAATATATAGATAAATGTATGTAGACATGTAGTAATAAAGACTATGGGCTAAATATTACAGTTTTAAATAAAACAAAAATGCCTCCTTTGGATAAGGAATGTGATAATGTGATTGCACAAACTGAAACCAAGGGAAGTCTATGCAGAATAAGAAAAAGAATTTCAGGGCATCCACTCGTCCCCGTTAAGCTGGGCTACAGAAACATTTAAGATGCCTGAAGAGCTGTGCTGAATATTAAAACTTTATTACACTGTGGTAGGAAATCTCACATAGACTAAGAGTACAGCTCAGTGATACAGCACTTGCCTAGCATGCACAAGGTCCTGGATTTGATCTCTGGCACCATCATCATAAATAAACAATGATACCTTACATGACTCATCTCTATTGATAACTGAATTAATCTAGACAAAATGTTCAAGATTTAATTTTAAGTAATTACTCTGGAAGAAAGAGGATTTAATTGCTCTTCAATTTCATGATTCCTTGTGAGAAAATCAACAGGGACGAAGGGTAAACATGAAATTACAAGTTAACAAATCATTTGATCGATTAAATTTTTACTAACTTGATCATCATGAAGACTGAGCTGTGACCATCATAAATTTTTCCTCTCATAACCAAAATAAGACTTGTTACTTGTAGAGGGGCAACTTTTGAAATGCACTGCTTTTTACAATTTACAGGGAAATGTTTTATTTCATGGAGACGCTGGTGGGGGAGGGGTACATTGCTATTGAAGAGTTTGGCCTCCAGTGGACACAGGAAATCAACAAAACACTGAAGGATTCTGTAGGCATGCTGGTAGACAGAATCAAAGAAATGCTTGCGAGGGGCAGCAGTGCCCCCAATTTGAACTCTATAACCTCTTATAGAGTAAGTTGTATATCTAATTATAATACAAGTCTCATTGACGTGTGTGTGTGTGTGTGTGTGTATGTGTGTGTATACATATGTGCATGTGTATTCAGTTTTGAACATCAAACCCAGGGCTTTAAGTATGCCAGGCATGCTATATTTATTTTAATCTGATTTTAAATTTTAAAACTTATCTCCTATTTTAAAAGTTATGAATGATAAATTTATTCAAGAACTTTACAGTTTATCCCCGACACTTTTGTCAAATGATTTCTTACCATTTACTTTTAGAAAATAAATCTCCTAATACCTTTCTTTAACCAAATTGGGTTGATTATCATAAATGCATGCAATTATATATCATACAGCTCTCTACAAGTATAGAAATACCACCCGCCACCACCAGCTCACTTCCTAAGTCATTTATGCCCCAGAGGTGCTGGGAAGGAAGGGTATTTGCTCTGTTACTGCCAAATTCTGGTGCTCCCAATCCCTTTCTCATCTCTGTGGTTGCATAGCAACAGTGAGTCAGCCACAGCTGGAATTAGATGTCTTGCATCCTTTTGGTTGAAGGTAGGGACTTGGCCACAGGAATGCAGAGGTTCAGACAGCTTCCTTTGACCTTCTGTGGTCTGTTCCCTTTATATGATCATGAGAAGAATACCTTGAATACTGACTTAAGCTTAGTTTCTTTTGAGTCTCCACATTTGCCTTTGTTTTGCTTTTACTAACTTTTCCAATTACATTTCGGGTTAGTCAAGTGATACTAAGGTCAGTGGAGATCAAATGTTAAATGCTGCCAGAAAGCATTTTATCTTCCTGCCAGTGTAAGGACTTACTTCTTGTCTAGTTCTCAAGGAAGAAAAAAAAAAGTTCAAAATGTACTGCCTTGCTGCTCACTGCCTGCTTAGGATTGCAAGGAAGGCTGCATTTACACCACCTAACCCTGCTGTAAAATTATTGAAACCAACTGTGATTAGGGAATGTGCAAATAAATAATCACTACTACTTCTAATTAACCAAGAATATGGATGGACATGTCTAGGTTCTCACTTTTCTTCCAATAACTAGCAAGAAATTAATACAGACAAAAAGGGAAAGAAGTTCTCACCCAGGCCCGTGGGTTTTATTTGTTTTATTTTGGATGAACCTGCAAATGAAAGTTCCACGTGACTGAACTCACCAAGGTCGTCTATCTGCTTCAGAAGTTCAACAGCATCCAGTCCCACGGAGAACTTTACAAAAACTTGCACAAAAGGGTTCCTTAGAGTATTCTAAAAAACAATAATAGGAGTCAGTTTCACTGCAAGAAGAAAACGTGTTCAATGGTTGTCACTCTAAACACAATCTTGGAACAAAGAATTAACCACCACTGAGTATTATCAATATACCCACTTGGGAAGGCTCGCATAAAATGGCTTAAAAGACTGGGCTTTTGTCTTTAATGTAAATTGGTCAAATTTCTAAAAATGTCCTGAGGATCATAATTTTCAACATCAGAAAATTATACTCAATTTAATAGAATTTTTGAGCTATTACATAATTTTTTAAAATATATATACTATATGTTTATATTATATGGTTCAAGGATATCATTCATTCAAATAAGACAAATATAAGCAACTATTGACATTCACAAGGTCTGCAAGGCCTGTGATTTATGACTGAATCCCAGCTATGCCTTTCCATATATGAGGCTTTGTACCCAGTTCTTCCCAGCCTCAGGTTATCTTTCTGTGAAGTGGGGATAAATACTCATGGGAAAAGTCAGTGTCCACTATTATAATACTATATGGAAAAAGAACAACTAGATGAACTTGGAAAAATAAATTGAAAGACCTCTGTGTCTCTATCCATAGATCAATGATAATTTAAAAAATTGCCTTAAAATTCAAATGCTTTTATTGTTTTTTTCCAACCTCAGAGACATAACTTTTACCCTTTAGTACGTGCTAGCCCATTTTACTATGTGCTAGGTTCTGTTATGTAGATTTTTGCTTGTTTTCCATTTATTTTTCAACCATGCCTAAAGTATGTACTATCATTACCCTTTTTCTATATCTTCTGAATACTTTTTGTGCTGGTGATTGAACCCAGGGCTTCAGTGGGTGTTAAGCAAGTCTTGTGCCAGCATGATATATCTTGGGTTAATGCTTCAAATATCAAACTCTGTACATTTACAACACTAGGTTTTTCCTCAATAATTGAGAATTGTCCTGTTCTAGAATAAAGATCCTTTCATTGGATGATGAACCCCCTGTGAACACAGTCACAGAGGTGCTACTAAACACTGCCCTTTGGAGCTATTGTGATTGTCCTTTTTTAACTAAGCACTTTAGCTAGTAAAAATTTCCCTAATAAAATGTGTTCAGGTTTTTCTTTTCCTCTTCACAGGTAAAAGGAGAAAAGAGTAGTCTTCCGCTTAGGGGAATACATATAACAAATTCTATTCAAGAAGCCTTTGTTATCTGAGATGCATTAGAAAAATCCACTCAAATGAGTGTGCTTAAACTTAGAACCAAAATTGAATAGTCAGATGAAAAGTTTACTTTGCTTTATAGTTATTAGATGTATTAATGCTTTTTATATTTATTTAATTATTTATTTTCTAATCCAGGTTGTAATTGTAGCTATGTATCCATTGTTGGTCAAAGCTGAAGAAAGCTGCTTCGGGGTATAATTTTCCTGACAAACGTGTATGAAATGAATCATTCATTCTCTGTTCAAATTCCTTATCATGACAGCAAAGAAGAGAATGTGGGGGCGGGGGCAAGAACATTCTCAGGTTACATCAGTTTTCTAAGGCTGTCTCTGCCATGCAAGCCCTTCTCTCATGGATCGCCTTGATTACATCATTCTGGCCAATTTTCTTTTCTCCAAGTGATAATAGGCCAGCCCTGCTGTGTGAGCTTTACTTGTCAAAAGCTCTGTTTGTGATTGGAACATTTCCCTACACTATTCACAGCATCTTTAGAAAAGCCTGCATCTTTTTACAAGAATTGCAAATTATAGTTTTCAAACCAATGTGCATTGTATTGGAGTTGCAATGTCAAATCCTTACACTAGACTGGACATCAGGAGGAGCTGAGTGAAGACTCAGTTCTGAAGGGGCTAATTTATTAAAACATGTCTTTTTTTCCTGGTAAATGTTTTTCTTCTTTACATGAACTTTAATTTAAGACACTTACCTAACTCCCTTAATGAGCACACCTTGTGTACAATATGTCAAAATGAATTTGGAATTTGGTAATATGTATGTTACATGTTCTGACAAAATAAGTCCACAAATTTAATGTTTTACAGACTATTAAAACTTTAGAAATTCTAATTCAGTTAAAACATCAAAATGTAATTTAACAAGCGTATTTTATAGCATCTTGTTTTTGAATAGCTGATTATATCAGTATTTACACCAATGTGTAAGACATTTTATCTCTGAAGCAGAGAGGAGGGGCAGAACCAGGAGAAAAGGTGGTTATAAATGTGACCAAGTCTGTTGTGCCATTTCAGATCCTGCCTCTGGATGGGGAGCAGGTCATTATAATCTCTTGAATATGAATGTTAAGTTACTAGCTTCACATAATAAAGGTAATTAAAACCTCAAAGAGTTATAATTCCCACTAAGGTGAATGACAGAGTGGTCTGTACCTGGAGCATTGGAATCGTCTGGTTTAGCAGGTGGAAGGAATTCATGAAGATTGGTGACTTATCCATCCACTCTTGAGATTTTTCTCTTAATTCTGCCAGCTGCCTCAGAGTTACATTGGACTTAATAAAAAAGAAAGAAAAGAGATCAGGTTCATTATCATGTTTTATTATTTCAAATTGTATCTTAAAATTGTTTTGTTTAGAAAGTAGCAAAAGGTAGAGTTAGAAAAGAAGTATTGTCAGACATTTTCAATGTGTTCAAAAGCTTTAAGTGGCAAATTTTATAAGAATCAAGATCATTTATAAAAATTCTGGAAAACTTATAACTTGCTTCATGTCCAAGGTGAATTTACAGTCAAAATGGAAGTTTCCCTAGAGTTTTCAGTAAGTTTTTATTTTTACCCATGATAAACTTCACTTTACTATTTAAGAACATCCAAGTTCAGGAATATAGGAATAACATTCTTTTTAAGTTAAAGCTTTTAAGTTATAATACAAAGTGGGAAGGATATCCTTGCATGTTGTTGCTGGGAAGAAGTATGTTGCTGGGAATAGGTATGTTGCTGGGAACAATCTCATAAGAGCTATTAAAATAAAGTACAGTCAGGCATGGTGGTGCATGTATATAATTCCAGCACATGGGAAGCCAAAGCAGGAGGACCTTAAGAGTTCAAGGCCAGCCTGTGTTACACAGGGAAGAGCCTATATCAAGTAAAATAAAATTAAGATTAAATAATATAAAGTAATAAAATATCCTCCAGTCTCCCTATCTTAGACATCAATCTCACTGCAATATAAATACCATTACCTCATCAGCATATACACAAGGTTTTTGGTGGCCACATTGTTTACACTAGCCCAAGAACATACACTGGAAACAAGATGAATGCCCAACACCTGAGAATCGGATAAACAAATTTCATGGCACGAAAAAAATTACAGTCTTTGAAAAGAAAAAGCTAAGCTATCTTTATTGAGTTGGAAGAATTTTCACCGTGTATTCCTATGTGGGAAAGCAACATGTAGGAAGAAAGTTACTGTAATGTAATCACATTTTAATAAAGCAAATGACGACCAAAGAACTCTGAATAGGAATGTGTACAGAACATTGTAATCTAGAAAGAATGAGAGAAATCTGTACAGAGTATGGAAAGACATGTGAATGTTGAATGCCAACATGTATGAGCGCAGCTGAGGACAAGAGTAAGATAAAGCAAGGAGAATGAGGGGAGATGAGAGCCAAACACAGTCAAGGCAAGCAAGTATTAAATGTCAACATTCAAAGAAAAAGCCACTCAGTTGTTTCTTCTGGTTCTTTTTTCACAGTCCTAAAGGTAATGTTAGATTCACATAGACTATAGTTTAATGACTAGGTAATATTGAAACAGAGTGTTCCACCCTTCATCCTGTAGTTTTTAAAGGAGTAAGTTTATAATTCAAATCATTAAAGCTCCATTTTTTTTTTGAAAGAGGGTCTCACTCTGTAGGCTAGTCTCGAACTCACAATCCTCCTGCCTCAGCCTCCTGAGTGCTAGGACTACAGACATGCTCCGTATGCCTGACCTGAAGCCAACTTTACTAACTGCTTTTTTATTTCCAGTGCTGGAGATTGAACTGAGGGTCCTTGTGCAGGGCAGGCACATACTCTGCCAAGGACCACTATTCCTACTGTTAAAATCAACTTTACAAATGAGATGCTATTGTGGTTAACTGAGGCAGGTGGTAAGCACAGTTTTCATAATACTGTTTTTCTCAACATGTATCTTTGACATCAATATGCAATGCTAAATTATACAATCAAATATGGAGCCAAGAATCTATGCTTTCAGAATTATTTTTGTTTAAACAACTATATAATTACCCAATGTTTTTTCTAGTATACTTTTTTTAATGTTCTTTCAAAGTCAGACACCAATTGAAAACTTTTTGAGACAAATTGAAAAGTCTAAGGCCTTGCTTTATCCAACTTCATTCTCAAGTGTCAAGATGGTTCATTTCTCCAGGAGTTACCACCTAATATAATTCATCTACATCCTTTCCCAGCCATACAGCTCTAGAACCAAAGTAAAAAATTAAGTGTCTCCAAAACTCAAGGGCAACAATAATGGTAGAGAGACAAAAAAGGATCAGAATCAGCTAAAATGAATGTAGAAGTTGACTAAGACAAAAGCACTCAAAAAAGAAACATTGAGCTATCACAGTCGAACCTTTTCCATAATGGCCTTTGTAACTGGGTTATACGGTGCATATAAAATCTTTCCCAACAACATTGGTTTCAAGAAAGCCCAAATCACAGGTCCAGCAGGCATGTTAATGATGTCTTTATAAAGGGAGAAGCAAAATGGTGCTGGAAATAAAAGTAAAGCAAAATAATTTAATAAACATATTAATAGGTATAATTAATATGCATCAATGATTATAACCTAAAAGAAAGCAAAAAATCATTAGTAGGGACATTCCAAATCTATTTCTTCATAACAAACTGGTACTGAATATTATTATAGTGCCTCAAAATATATATCTTAGCACTTCTTACTCTGTTAACAGATGTGAGGCATCTGGCATCCAAGTAAGAAAGCATAATAACGAATCTTTTTAGGTGAAGAAATTTAACCCAATAAGCAAACCCAAAATAAACGATTACATTTTGCCAAGAGGAGATATAAAGATTGCAAACCATATTTCAGAATTGCTTCCAACAGATCTATTTTACCAGCACTTAATTTTCTAAAAATACACAAAATCCTTCTATTGAGATTGTACCAGATATACAAGAGCTATCCAATAGGTGTTTGTTGAATGAATAAAAGATGAATGAACGAGTCAACCCGATTGCTATACTAAACATCCATATATTATTTGGAAGAGCTCCACTGATCACATTTTGCATCTTAAAGTTTATAGATCAAGTAAACGACTTTGATGCACCACTAAATGTTTATTGCTCTGTTGCATGCATCTGCAATACTATATGTGATATAAATGTCTAATGCTAGAAACTTAGGGAGAAATACTGACCCAAACATATTTAAGGCAAGCTTTCATATTATCTACTGACAAGGAAGTCACTGTTATGATGGATAGATGCTAACCACAGACCTTTTCTTCATGACAATGATTTGGTCAGCGATGGACTGCATATATGACAGGGGTCCTCTATAGTTATGTCACCTGTTGCTGTTGTGGCAATCTAGTTTACACATAGATGTACTCTATGATGTTCATACAATGAATGAGGCACCTAATGACATATTTCTCAGAATGTATCTCTATTACTTAAAGTGATCCATGACTATACAGTGTGTAATTTACAGCATCCAAGACCTCTGAGTCTTCCAAGTTCAGTGACCTTGGCTAGGTGATATAGTCTTTGTGGCCCTCTTGTGCTCACTAAAATGGAATAGGGTCAGTGTTAACTCATAGCACTGTTGTGTTGAGGGCATGAGTTAACATGCAGAGCATGTGGCAAGTCTGAATAAGTGGTTGCTGTTTTTACTCAGAGGTAAAATTAATACTTCATGTATCACAAAAAGCTATGATGAATGGGCAATACTCTCAATTGTCATGAAGAATAATTATCATGTTTGTTTTGAGGTACACTCACTGGCATTTAAGGGAATCCCATATTTTGCAGCAACTTGCTCTTTAGTTAATTTATAAGTTAAAAAATCCTTGGTGTGGTTGCCTTTTGGCTTCTGAGATGCAGGCAGCATGGAAGTTAAGTACTCAGTGGTTATTCCTTGGGAGCACAGTGCTTGAGAGATGGTACTGAACGATCCTGCTGGTGAGTTTATCCGGGTGCTGCTGTACATTGCCTATGAGACAAAACCCCAAGACTTACTAATGTTACCTGAGCTACAGAAAACAAAATAGAAGGAAAAAATGATAACATTTAGAGTATCCACAATTTCCATAATTCCTTTAAAGTAAGAATACAAAATATAAATACAGAATGATAAACCACCAATTTTAGTGCTTTAGGAGAGTTTTCTTCTAGTAACTTTTTTTCTTTAATGTACTACATTGGTAGCTGAATTTATTGCACCCAATCTTAAATAAAAGCCAGTATGACAGGAAGAATTTTTCAGCAGGAACATTACTGAGTGACTTTTCTACCTGTGTTAATGGAACACTTCTGGGCAGGTGCATTTGTTTCAGGGATCTGATTTTATCTAGCAGTGGATGTGTGCCGGAAGCCAACTGATTGAGAATCTCTTTCAGCCTTACGAAGAGTTCTATCATCTTTTCGACTGGCTTTTGATCTTTCCTAGGGAAAAACACCTAATGGAAAGAGAATAAAAATGAATGATTTATGCGGAGGCACTGGAACCTCGTGGCGTGTTAAGAATATAAAACAGCACAACCACTTTGGAAAATGTTTTTGAATGTCTACTAAACAGTTAAACATAGATTTGCCATATAACCCAGCAATTCCATTTCTAGGTATGGACCTCAGCAAAGGGAAATCATAAGCTCACAGCAAATGTCGGTACATGAACATTCACTAGAGCTTCATTTACAACAGCCAAAGAGTAGAAACAATCCAGGTGAAAAAATAAACAAAATATATCTTTAGGGGCTAGAGAGATGGTTCGGCAGTTTAGATTGTATTGCTTTTTCAGAGGATGTGAGTAGAAAAAGTAAAGTAACTGCAGTTAACTGAAGATTTCAAAATGGCTAGTAGAGGGATTTTGAATCTTTCCAAAACAAGTGATGAATATCATTGACTGAATAGTATAGGCCTGCGTTAAAATGCCTCGGGAATCCCATAAATATGTGCAGTTAGTATGTGAGAATTAAAATAAAAATATTTTTAAATCATTGAGTTGTATACAGAAAGTAAATTTTGTGATATATAAATTATACTTCAATAAGGTTGCAAAATTAAATAATTTTAAAAGGCTATTCTATTTATAATTATGTGTGTGTACGTGTGTCTCTGTTTGTGAGTGCAGTGCCTTTGGGAGCCAGAGTTGTTGGATTCCCCTGGAGCTAGAGTGACAAGCAGTTGTGAGCCTCCCCTCATAGGTGCCAGGAAATCAAACTTGGGCAACCACCAAGTCATCTTTCCAGCCCCAAAATATATTGCTTTAAAAGTTAGAAAGGCAAGTGCCGATTGTACAATCCCTCATGTAGATACACACAGATAAATAAATGTGATGATTAGTATAAGAATAAAAAACAAAGTTCTATGCAGAAGGGAAAATATGTGAGGTCTCTAAGGACAAAAAGCTCTTTGCAGTGTCCAAGGACATCAAAATTTACCATGACAAGCACAAGATTTTGCTGGAGACATGGCCAGGCATACACGCCTCTCTCTGGTAAGCAATGGGGATGAAAATGTACCTGTACCAGATACTGTTCTTGGCATTAGAAATGTTTTAGCAGGCAAGGAGGCCCCAATGGAATCTACATACTAAATACGGTAAGCTGAAAATAAATAAATAACAGGTGACAAATACAATAGACAACGTGGAAGTGTGACGGAAAACAGCGTGCAGGCCAGCGGACATGAATGTGCTGCAGGTTGGTGGTCTGGGTGAGGAGCCTTCAGATCCTGGGACCTATATCTCCTGGGGCAACACCACGCGGTACCCATAGCACAGGAGCAGCTAAGTTGGGGCTGCTGCTTTCTGGGTGGTGAGGCGGAAATCACTGGGAGATTGGAAGTAGAAGGGTGACGTGAATGTTGTTTTAAGAGGGTCACTCTGCTGCTTCGGAGGCAGTGGGGAGGACGTTGAGGAGTGCTACAGAGGCCACGGCAGGTGGCAGACAGACACAGTGGGAGACACCATGAGGTCTCAGAACAGGGTTATCTGTAACTAACCCCAAAACATCTTTATCCCCTTAGCGATGGTCGAGCAACAACATACATCAGCACTGTTGTCTCTGACTTTTTTTTAAGAAGGGGGAAAAAGCAGTTTTCAGTGTTTTTCAGAAAATATGAGTACTTTCAGCCCAAATATAGATTTGGGTGGACATACATATTTACTTTCCTATTTAGATTTTCCTTTCCAGTCTATCTTAAGTAGGCACTTACAGAACATCTGCTTAGTGCAGTGGCACTTTTGTTACCTCCTCTCTAATAATGATTGTAAGTGATGGCTGCTTCTAACTAAATCCATGAAAGAAATGCTAACATTTTATTTTTGAAAAACAACAAAAAATACCGTTTTGCTTTTGAAAAATATTTCTGTTAATTTTTATTTTTATCTTGTCAAACTGATGCTTCTTTATTGTAAAAATGATCATAGTTTATATCTTATTATATATTGATCTCAATTCCTGTTCTCAGATACACAGACTGAGATTAACAACACAGTAGCATTAGTTCCCTCATCTGTAAAATGTATGCACTTGCAATATATGGTCTCTAGCAGAAGTCTTGCTTGGCTCCAAAATAATGCCATAAATCCAGGTACTCTATGAATGGGGCTCATCCCTTATGGTATCAGGAAGCATTTGTGATTAAATTTTATTTATTTATTTTTATGTATATGAATGTTTTGCCTGCATGTATATGAGTGAACCATGCATGCAATGTCCATGGAGGACAGAAGACAGCATTGGAGCCTCTGAAACTGTTGTTAGGGAGGTTGCTAGCCATCATGTGGGTGCTGGGAACTGCATCCAGGTCCTCTGCAAGAGTAGTCAGCACTCTTAGCTACTGAGTCATCGCTCCAGCTCCTGTGAGTAAACATTTTTTACAGTAAACCAACATGTAAACATATTTACCAATAGCAACTTGCCTTGTATGTGAAATTGTAAATGTCCAAGTAATGCAGAAGAGTGAGTCCAATGAGGTAGGACTGGTGGGATCTCTCTGGGAGAGGCAGTCTGCAGAATTCCTTCATGGCATCTTCCAGTTTGGGGTTGGTGACATTGGCATCACAAGAATGCAACCAGAACACACGAGAAATTATCTGTAGGTGGGAGGAAGGAAAATAGTTATGAATCATCTGAATGTCTTCTGTCTGGTTTGAGAAGGCTTTTGTGTGCTCTGTATTTTCAAGTAAGACAAATAGTCCCCAGGAATGAAATAACCTTTTTAAAAAAATATTTTATTTATTATTTTTATTTTATGTGTATGAGTGTATTGTCTGCATGTATGTGAGTGCACCTGTGTCATGCAATGCTGCGGAGGTCAGTAGAGGGCTTCGGATTCCCCTGGAACTTGAATTAAGGACAGTTCATAGCCACCATGTGAGTGCTGGGAATCGAACCTAGTCTTTCTTTTCTTTCTCCATTTTCATATGTGTGTGTGTGTCTGTGTGTGTGTGTGTTTTGTGTGAGTATATATGTGCCTCTTTGCACATGGATGGTGGCATGTGCATGTATGGATGTACATGTATGTGAGTTCTCATGCATATGGAGGGCCAGGGTTTCAGGACTCATGCTGCATTGCTTTTCTACTTTATTCAATAATGCAGGGTCTCTCAGTCAAATCTAGAGCTCACTGGTCTGGGTGGTCTCACTAATCAGCTTGCTCTGGGGATCCCCTGCCTCTACCTTCTGAGGCTTGATTTATAGGAGAGCCACCACATCTGCTCGCAGATTTTGCTTAAACAACTGGGAACAAAATAACACTGGGAAAGTTTGGGAGTCTGTGTAAATGGCTAGTGATCCACATTTATTTTAAAGATTTACTCAATTTAAGTTGCATTTCATTCTGATGATCACTGAAAGTTATAGTTTCGCATCATATACTCTATGGCTTCAGAGATTTAAACTAAAGAAGGAGGAGGAGGAGGAGGAGGAGGAGTTTATCATAGTGACAGAAAGTGGATAACCCAAGAAGGAAGGCAATAAGAACCCAAATTCTA